CCTGTGGTAGCGGCGGCGGTGAGGACGATGGAGAGCTCGTTGGTCCATTTGGAGGTGTAGCCCCAGCGCCTCTGCTCGGTGTCCCAGAAGTGGCTCTGCGTGGGGAAGCCCACAATGCGCTCGGGGAAGCTGCGCCACACCACAAAGGCAAAGTCCACCTGGCGTGGGATGGGGGACGGTGTCACCGAGCTGCGGGAACCTGCAGGAGGGGGCTCACCCGCCAGCCCTGCCTTCCCCCAGAGGTGTGCCCTGGGCACGGGGACACGGGGACAGCGGGCACCGCTCCCTCACAGCCCCGCAGTGGCCACTAAGCAGCCTCCCTGGCTCAGCATGGGGCTTGCCCCAGCTCCACGGGGCCGGGGACCGCAGCACCCATGGCCTCACCTCGCTGGTCGAGAGGCTGGTGTGCTCGTCCAGGCTCAGCACAGCGTCCGTCTGGATGGCCACGTAGGGGAAGAAGCGGTCGCTGAGCTATGGGGAGGGGAAAGACAGGTTGGGATGTGCCATGGGGTGGGTGTCCCTGCTCCCTGCCCGTGTCCCGGCTCCCTGCCTGCATCCCGGCTCCTCTCACCTTCCTCCTGCCCTGGATGATGGTCAGAGGCACGGTGGTCTGGGGCCATTTCCCACTCGGCGGCGGTGGCTTCTCACAGCTCCACAGCACCAGGATCTGCAGGAGGGGGTACCAGCACGTCCAGGGGTGTTTGGCTGGGCTGACTCATTGGGGTGCGTTGGTGCATCGGTGTTTGCAGGGCCACTAGGGCTGAGCCCCCCCCGCAGCACTGCAGCGGGACCTGCTCACCCCAAAACCATCTCACGGTGGTTTGGACTGCAATAAAGCCATGGGTGGTCCCACCTCTGCCCACCCAAGTGTGACACCATCAGCCACCCCCTCCCACCCCCAGCCCCAGCCTCGCCCTTCCCAGCCCACGGGACCCTGCCCCATCCCTCCCGCTGCATCCCAGGGAGGTGCACCAAGCGGCGCGGGGCTCAGCTCCCCCAACCTGGGCGCAGTACTGGGATCCAGAGACAGCCTGGATGAGCCTGAGGATGGACTGGGAGAGGGAGCCGGATGGCGAGACGACCCGGATGAAAGCTGTGAACTTCTTGGAGGGGCTGGAGCCTGAAAAAGGAGGGGGAGAAGATAGGTGCTGTGGCATGCACTGAGTTTGCCGTGCTCAGCCAGGGCAGGAGGGGTCCTACCGTGCTGCAGGTAGTAGAAGGGAAAGTCCCCGAGGTAGGTGGAGAAGTCGGGTAGGGCCAGGAGCCCCCCGGGCAGTGTGTTCCAGAAGAAACGGGATCGGGAGCGGTGTGGCAGCAGCCGGGCCTTAATGATCTGCCCGGGGCCAGAGAGATGCTCTCAGCACCCCAGTTGTGACCCCGGGGGCCGTGGCGGGAGTTCAGGGGGAGGGCTCACCTCCAGTGTGGTGTGCACGATCTTGTCGACGGAGGAGAAGTACGCGTCCCACAGGAACTGGGTCTGCTGCTGGAAAGCCAGCACACGCTCCCAGTGGATGCAGCGGACGGCGGAGGGGATCTGCGGTGGCAGGGGGGTGGCTGGTTTCTCACTTCAGTCCCCTCCCCCCGGTTCCCCAGCAGGGTTCCCTTGCCTCCATGACCTCCGTGCCATCCCGAGGGACACCCCGTGGCCAAGGATGCTGTGCCATCGCCCTGCTGCAGCTCTGCCATCTCCTCTCCCTGGAGCAGGATCTAGCCCAGGACCCCCCAGGGTGCTCAGCACCCCCCCCAGGACAAACAATGCCCCAGAGCTGCGGCAGGGGGGGGACCCCTCCTCCAGGCTGGGTGAGCCCCCCCTGCATCCACCCACGGGAGGGCTGCCAGTCTCCACTGCAGAGGTTTCACCCCAAAGCTTGACTGGGGGCTCCACCACCACTGGTGTCATTACTGGGGGGTCCCTTGTGTGCAGTGTGGGGCAGGACCTGGCCACGGTACCTGCAGCAGCAGCCCCCCCTT